ATAACTATACTATCTACTACAAATAACAAAAATTAAAATATTTACATCTCTACAGATTCACTACCGATCACATGACTTGTTTCTCCTTCTGGGAGTGCAAAGTAATCAGCTACATCCAAATGCATGAAGTCTAAATTATCTTCAGAAATAAAATTTGCTTCAGCATTTTTCTCTGTCTTCTTCAGGGAAGCTTGATATAGCTCAACCAGGTGCTTTGGCGTACGACATGTACGTGACCAGTGCCCTTTTCCTCCACATCTATAGCATGCATTTTCTGGCTTTGCTGCTTGCAGCGCTTCATGCTTTTGTTCCTTCCTTTTCCACTGCTGGTAGTGAGGAGGGTTCTTTGGTGCATTATTATTATCACGATTAGAGTTTCCTCCCCGACCACGGCCATGACCACGACAAGAACCAGTAGGTCGGCTTTCATGATTTTTTATTAATAGCCCATTATGTTGCTCGGCTACAAAAAGATGTGAGATAAGTTCAGAATACTTTTTGAATTCCATCTCTCGACATTGCTGCTGCAGGAGCATATTCGAGGCATGAAAAGTGGTGAAAATTTTCTCCAACATATCATGATCTGTAATATTATCACCACATAGTTTCAATTGGGAAATAATTCTGAACATAGCAGAATTATACTCACTGATAGATTTAAAATCTTGTAGCCTTAAATGAGTCCAATCATAACGTGCCTGTGGAAGAACGACCATCTTCAGGTGGTCATATCTATATTTCAAATTACTCCACAGTATGATTGGATCTTTAATAGTAAGATATTCTATTTTCAGGCCCTCATCAAGGTGATGGCGTAGGAATATCATTGCTTTGGCACGGTCTTGGTTTGATGCCTGATTTTTATCTTTGATGGTGTCTGCCAGACCCATCGCATCAAGATGAATTTCGGCATCAAGCACCCAAGACATGTAGCTTTTGCCCGATATATCCAGGGCTACAAACTCAAGTTTAGAAGGATTTGACATTATTTAGAAAAAGAAAGTTCGTACCTCTAATACTTTCAAAGTATTTTCTCGAGATGTCAGAGTCTCGTGCTGATAACGTGTTATAAAATAATGACTGTAAAGTAAAGACACGTATAGAGAGAAACTGATATATTATTCAAACTTCAAACTTATGTACATAATGAACTGAATTCTCCTCTATTTATAGAAGAAAGGAAGCTGCTGTGTAAGCTGCTTGTAAGCTGCTGTATAAGCTACTTGTAAGCTGCTATTGCAAGTTGCTGTGTAAGCTGCTTGTAAGCTGCTACTGCAAGCTGTTGTGTAAGCTGCTTGTAAGCTGCTGCTCTAA